ATCTCCACTGGTTTTGCTCGCATGGATCTGCCACTTCTACTAGAGTGCCTGTCAGCTGGAAGAGGACAGGGGAAGCACACATGTCAAAGATGACTGAGAGAAGGCTGAATGGAGGGAAAAGGGATGAGGAAGTTGGGACAGATTGATTCTGCCACAGAATACTTCCTGTATTAGGCTTAGCAGTAAAAGGCAGCTCTTATACTATGTCTATGCCTGTACAGCCTTATGGTCATAAGTTCTGTCCAAGTGACGAAAAAAAAGATTTGATTCTGCCACAGAATACTTCCTGTATTAGGCTTAGCAGTAAAAGGCAGCTCTTATACTATGTCTATGCCTGTACAGCCTAATGGTAAGTTCTGTCCAAGTGACGACAAAAAAGATTTCTGTCAGCCTGAAGTTCTGCAGTAGTTACTGTTTGGGCTACAGCTACCAGGGCTACAACATGATCTCTCACCAGGTGTTACTAGTTACAGCATTGCACAGAGGGCCACTCTTTCATTAAAAGGTCTCCAAAAATTGCTGATCAGTATTTTCATCCCTACTGATGCTCCTCACCATGGGAGCTGCAAAAATTGTAGCCAGAATTGCTTGTTGTAGTGGTAGGTGGCTTGCACCTCCTTGCCAAATACATGTGTTGAGAACACTGTAGTTGGAGTACTGTTTCATGCACGGTGATCTGCTAGGAGTGAGAAACAGCGAGCAAGGAGAAGATGACAAGAGGAGAATCATGGAATATTTAGTTTGGTCCCTGAACAAAGAGTTACTTTAATTCAAGTTAGGTTCTGCTTGACAGCCCATTGTGTATACAAAATCAATCCCCCCTCATCTGTACAGCCAACCATCAGCACAGCAAGTGATACTTGCCCAAAATACTGGGTAAACACAAATCCTTCACCTGTTTAGTAGTAACATGTTAAAGTGAATGATGATTTTGCGTATGGCTAGTGCATGCTGGTTAGAACGGAGCAGGTGCAGGCTGTGTTTTTCACTAGGAGTTGTAGTCAGCAGCTGATGGGCACAGCCTTGAGTGAGGCAGGCCAATTGGTTTATCCCTTAGTACAGCAGAGCATATAGGGTTGGGTTTTGCCTATAATGTGGAAAATTCTGTATATAGTCCAGTGACATGTAAACTGTGCAATTTAATTGTATTTATTAATGCTGAAAACTATTTATGTGGTAGCCTATTGCTGAAATGCTGGATTGTTAATTGATACTTTCACCTATGGGTATTAATTTTCCAAAAATACATTAAAATATCCCTTTAGTGGTTAAACAGCTTTTCCTTTGAAAGTTGTGTTGTTTGACAAAGATTCCTGGTGTTTAAAATGCCATCTGGATCCAATAATACGTCTCAATTGGGAAGAAACTCTTGTATTGCAACAAACTTACACGCTCAAGAGCCATAGGAAGTCCCATCCCTGCAGGATCTATAACACAGTCAACATCTTTCCTCCCCTGAAAAATGCATGGCAGTGCCGCTCCTTTGTAATGTGAGAGGCCACTGCTGAGCAATACAAGGCACCTGCTCATTCCTCGGGGTGAGTGTACTTTATTTCAAAGTATTTCTGCCCATTAAAGTAAAGCAAAAGACCGCTCAGAACCAAACAGCTTTTTGAAAGATCCTTTTACTTTTGCAGTAACTCTCTTTTTTAATATACGTATTAACAGTTATCTTGAAATGTAAAAGAGCTTATCCAGAAGAAAATGAATTGCAGATACATATGTGATGTAATCATATATCTGAATCAAAATATGACTATGCAGTAAGCTGATATGTGCTACAAAATTTGTGCCCTGCCTGACAGAGTCTAGTGTGTGACTGGAAAAAAGAAAAAGGTTTGAATTTTGCTGCTGACTCTCAGTAGTTCCATTAAAGTCCAGAATAAGAAAAAGATAGAAAGGGCTACAAGATAAATTGAAAGAATTTGAGTTTGTGTTTTTCTTACATTCTTGATGACTATGGTTGCTGTCTGCTACTCCAACTTCCCACAGATTTCTTTTGTGGCTTTCAAAGTAGGTTCATATAAAGCATAAATTGTATGAAGTTCTCTGAAAGTTTTCTTCTGCATCACAGCTCTTAAACTGGAAGTAAGAAAAATATCTACAAAGACAAACAATAGCTACAGATACGCTGCCCTAAGCAAGCAGTCAGATCC